GGAGTTATAAAATGATTTTAACGGAGAAAACTAAATTTTTGTGTAAATTTCATTTGAACTACACATATTTGATTATAATTTTAAAAAGAAAGTTAAGCTTAGATTTTAAGGTTATAAACAGAATTGGACATCACTACATAAGTGAGTATAAATAGCAATTTGATAGAGCGAAGAGCTTGTTCTCTGTTGGCATTGGTTAAAAAAAAGAAATTAAAAGATAAAGCAATCTGTAAATGACTACAATTATAACCACAAATTATTAACATGCAATTAAAAATGTTGACCAAAGGGGAATTAAATTAAGAGAGATAAAAACAAGGATTAGATTTTTAATTAGTGAAGAATGTGTCAGAAAGAGATGCGTTTTTTCATCGAAAGGCTCTTTTCACGCCTTCTTTGGAATTCTCGTTTTAACGTAGAGACGAGACTTCTTAAATAATTCTGATCCGGTTTGGTTCGATTTATAGTGTCTAAATGGGTTTGGTTCGGTTCAATGAGATTAATTCGTTTTGGTTGGTTTTATATTAACTTCCGATGAATAGTTCGAGAGGCAGAGAGATATGTCAAAGCGGTGATCGGAGAACTAGTCGACGGTGAAATCGATCATTAACCAGAGCTGAGAAAAGCTTGTTGAGCTGGAGAGAGAGATGGTGCAACCAAGCAAAGAGCCCTGCAAAAAAGAAGCTTGCGATATCCAAGCTTGTCTCTCAAAGAACAATTTTCTTCCTCAAAGGTGATTACTTTCTCTCTTTCTCTATATATTCCACCTTTTGATTTTCGCGGTTTAATTGTTCATCTCTATTGTTTGTAATTAAGAGATCCATTTGATTGGAGGGTTTAAGACTGTGATCGTAGTTTTGGGGGTTTAGGGTTCATGTTTCAATCATGAAAAATGGGTTTTTTTTTCTTTTCTTCCAGCTAACTTATTTGATGCCAATCCATGACAGCTTTAAGAATGTTTTTCTTAGTAATTGTTGTGAGATATGTTTTGGAGATTATTATGGACCAATTTTTAGGTGGGTTTTTTTCAGTGCTTGTAGTAGTAATGGATCATAATCACTCTGTTTCATGTATCACAAATTGATTCAATAGCTTACACAGTGTTGAATACAGAGTCTTATTGTCGGATGATCAAAGCAGGGTGTTTGTAGATATCGTAATCTTAACAATCTATTAGTAGTTTGGCTTCTCCTGAGGAAAAAAAAAGGTATGAAATGCATTGTTGTTACTTTGTCTGCAGGCACTTAGCTTGGTTTCTTGACATAATTCTGTGATGTATGAATTCAATAACTCAAGACAAACAAAATACTAGAAAAGCCCAACAATTAACTGTTGAGTATGATTACAAAGGAAAAAGCTTTCCCTCAGTAAAAATCACAGATACTTATCAGCTATAAGAAAAATGAATCTTGGTTGTGTCCTTCATGTCTCTAGACTCTAGGCATATTAGAAAGTTTTCATGAAAAGTTTGAGAAATAGTATATCATGGTGAACAACACAGCTATTTAAGCTATGATTGACCAGCAACCTCACTTTCGATACGCAGTTTTTCTATGTTTTGTTACACTAACCAGCGAATAAGATGCATTGGTTTTGACTACATTATCAACGAGACTCTGCATATATATGATTATAGTTTATGGTGTGGATTTGGTGAATGCAGGTGCCAGAGAGTGATAGAGATGTTACAAGCTTGTTGTGAGAAATGCAATAACGAGTCAACACATTGTGGATCTTTAGCTGCTCTCTTGAAGCAAATCAAGAAGTAATTAAGGACTATAAAACCCCCTAAACCAAAACCAGAGGCATCAAGAAGAGACTACAATGCACATTACTCTCATTTTGTCTCCTCTCTGATATGAATGATGATATCTTTCTGTATAATTGTTGGTCACTTTCCAAATAAAAAAAGCATCTTGAGTAATGTAATTTCGGGTATCATTTTAATTAAATTTGAAAATGTGAGTTTCCACGTGTACACTCGGGAGATTAGCCACCAGAAAAAAAAGTTCGAAGTCGATTATGCATAAGGGTCAGATGGATTTAGTTGAGAAATGAATGAATTAAGGATAAAATAAATGAAACTTCAAAAAGGACAGAAACAGGCTCGAATGGACTTGAAGGTTACTGTTAGTCACATGTGGCCAACAACAACACAAAAATCATGAAAAAAACGTACAATCTAAAGTTTTGCTTTCAAAGAAAACCTAGATTGTAACCTTGACAAGATTTACTTACATTGACAAAAATGATCCGTTGAATCTTTCGGATGAGGATATAGTAAAACTTGTCAAGCTTTGAAGACGTTCGAGAATGGCCCTGATTTGCTCGTCTAGTCGAGTAGAGCAAGAAAGTACGAGAACTTTGACACTTGGACAGTTAGCTAGAAAGTTGTGCAATGTTGTTTCGGTTATAGCATTTCGACGCCTATTGATCGGACAACCTTGTCGTCTGGAAAAGGCCGGAATACAAGCCGCTCAAGGAGGCTGCAGTGAGCCGCAACCATTCTGAGAACATATTTCAATCTAAAATTGCTGAAAAAAGAAAAAAAACAAGTAACTCCATAATCTGTTACAGTTTTGGTAAATTGAAAAAAACAAGTAACAAGTAACTTCGATATGAAACATACCACATATTGTGCAGCTCCATATCGGTTAGGGACGAGCAGTGACTTAGGGTGGTGTTCAAATGACAAGGAAAGATGAGACCTTGATACTGGAGGTGGAGTTTCGTCAGCTGGTTCCTGGTAGAACGCAAAGGTATCAAGTACTTCTTTGTAAAGAATGAAGGCTTGTCTTCGATGCCAAGCACGAGTGATCTGAAGTTACAAGTGAATTAGGTGAAGTTAGATGAGGAAACAAAAAAAATCATATGAGAAAGGAGGAAAGGAAAAAAAAAAAAACAATATACCTGCATATTCCGCAACAACATCGCATCAGGAGAAGCACATCTAGATCCTCTGCAGTAGGTTTGTCACGGAGATCAATGTGCTTGTAGGAAACTAACTGACTCCCTGCCAAGTAAAATAACTTGCACAAAGTCTCGAGTTGGGCCACTAGTAAACCGTTTAAGTTTGAGAAAATCTGCAGCAGATTACAAAGAATTGATTAAGTTAGCAGTAAGCTAAAAAGAAATGAATTGATTGAATTAGCAGTAAGAAAAAAGATATGATCGTACATGGGCTGTGCAATCGATCGGTAAAGGCCAATCGGCTGGAATTTTTAATGGGTCAAGATTTAATACACCCCGTAGTTTAGCTAAGTG